GAAGAGTGAAGCCAAAGGAGGGTTAGATTAAAAAAAAAAAAAAAAACCGAGACAAGTGAACATGACAACTTAAGACGAAGCAGGCGGGAGGTGAGAAAAGCTTGAGGGAAGATGCTGAAATGAAGGAGAAGTCAAGTGCGAAGCTGTAGAAGATTAGTGAGCTGCAGCTACACAACGGTGACGCTGAAGGAGACGCGAGGAGGAGGAGGTTGTTTTGGAACAGGAGCTCCTGGAGAGGTGAAAGATGGAGGCTGGCAGGGTGGAGGAAAAAACACATGAAATGAAGAAAATATGGGCGTGAAAAACACAAGCTGCTCGCAGCAGGCGATGTCTGACAGACTGTTACGCCATCCCCACCGCAAACCCCCCACCCTCGCCAACACTTGTAATACCTGTCGAGGCGTGAGCGTATGAGAGCAAGCAGTCTTTTACTTGTACTGCTTTTACTACTTCGCCTCGTGTCCTTGTAAGAACATCCTTCAAAGTGGAGGTATCAGGTTGTCGTTATGTCCGCGAGGGGATACTTACTGTGCCATAAATGAGCTTTAATTAGTCTCAGACCTTTGCTGACCTCTAGCATCTTTTGAGGAATTGGGACGACATCAACGAATCTCTGGCCACACGTGTCGCTGCGATATACACAGTGAAAGTCATTTCACACCAGGGATAGCAAAGTAGGTGAGAGCAAAGGTTCAGCAAAAACATCAAATGAGGCAGCGACGCATGAGGGCGATGTAATGCGTCGGTGTTACTTTTCATGGCATTTTATTATTCTGATTGAAAACAGACGTTTGTTAAATTGATTTGTCACAATGCCACTGTTTAACTCGGTTTCACTCGTCCCAAAGAGCCAATTGAGCACCTTTTTCTAAAACACTTGACTTTATTTGTATGTACTTGGAATAAAATTCATAATAATACATTTCCTTGCATATAAGAAGTTAGCTAACAGTTAGCATCTTGTAAAATCTAGCATTAGCAAAAAAAAAACCCATTTGATTATAGTTAAATTTAATTTACTTTATACTTAATTTAAAGCAACAGCATTGATTTGTGAGGAATTTGTTTACTCTTCTCTCTGAAGTTGGCGTAATCGGGTCGTTAATTGATGACGTGACGAATCCTACTTCCGGGCCTAAAGTAGTCTGCGTTTAATATGGCTTTTGTGTTGTTAACATGTTTAATG